CCATTGGCCCGCGCCCCGCCCGCGCCCGCGGCCCGCACTCCATGAAGCGCCCATTAGCGCGGCAGGTGCCTCCCGGGCCGTAAATTTGCCCCCTGATTTATCTCCCCGGGGACGAAATAAATCCCGGTGGATGGGAGTTTAGTTAGGCAAAGGTTTTAATGGGAAATCAGGAAAAAATACGAGAACATATTTTATCTCCCTAAAGAATGCAGATTTGAGGATCCACTCGGCACGCTCCGTGCGTCCCGTTCGGGAAAGAGCCCCAGGCGAGCGGCCGGGCGCGGTAGCCGCCGGCGCCGTCGCGGGCCACGGCTGCCCCGGGCTCGGGTTGCGGGGAGCACTGCAAACGTTCTCGGGGACACTCTCCGGGATGCGGACGGGCGGAGGAAGCCGGACCTCGGAGTCCACGGGCCGAACGGCCGGACTGGACGCGCGCGAATCTGCTCCGGTTTCACCAACAAACGGCTGGTGGTAGCGAGGTCTGTCCCGGGGCCACACGCCAGGCCGCCTGACTCGCGCGCGCTGCGGAGCGGGCGGCTCCCTGTCCCCTTATCCCCTCCCAGCCCTCGGGACTGTCCTTTGCCGGGTCGGGGCGCAGGGACGGCCCTGGCCTCCCGCTCGGGCGTTTCCCGGTCGCAAAGTCTCAGCTCGGTTTCCAGGAGGCGACCTGAGCCCCGAGCTTCGCCCCGGCCCCGCGATCCAGCCCACGGGCCGTTCCCTCGTGATGCGCAGCCTGCACCGGGAGAACTGGGACCCGAGCGGGCTCAGAGCCCGAACACAGGGCGTGTGGGCGCCACGTCCGGGGCTTTCATGTGGGGTCGCGCCTGGAGCGCAGAGGCAGAAGCGCGGCCTTTAGGCGGGCACGTTGGCCCATCATGTCCTCCTCTGGGTTCAAAAAGCCCCCACCCCGTAGAATTGCTGTGGGGACTCAGGTGAGATAGCAGTGGACTCCGCGCCAGCAGAGAGCAAGCACTGGGTAAAATGCTGGGCGTTGTCGCCTTCTTGGGTGGTGTCCCATACTAATTAATAAGTGACACCTATTACTGCTATTCGCTGCCCGTTGGGAGCCGTGAGCCGAACGTGCGCGGACGGACGGCCGGTTCGTGGCCGGGGGGCGGTGTGCGCCAGGCCGGCCTCTCGCGGGCCTGGTGCGGTTCGTTAGCAACGACTTTCCCGTTTCACCCTGGCCGCCAGGGTTTCGGGGGCGCGGACGAAGGCGACCCTCGCGGCTCTGTGCAGGGACCCAGCGTCCGCTCGCACCGCGACCCTCAGGGGTCCATTTTCGTTTTGTGCAGTTAGCGGCGGGGTCGTGGCCCTGCGAGTCCCTACGCCAAATCGGGGCTCGAAAAGCCATTGGCCGCCTGGGCTGGGCGGGCGTCCGGGGGTCACCTCTGCCTCGCGTGTGCTCGCCGTGCTGCCCCGGGCGGCGCCGCGTGGCGCGTGGAGCCCCCGACTTCCTGTGCAGTGCAGCCTGGCGCGCGGGGGTTTCTCTCTCCCCGCTTCGTCAGCCGGGGCCACACTAGCGGGATCTGGGTGTGGCTGCTCCGCAGTCGATTGGCCCCGGGGGAGCCAGGCCCCGGACACTGAGCGCGTCCCTCGGGGATTCCCGCGCTGCGAGCGCCGCCGGGTCCGCCGGGCCCCGAGACCCGCCTCAGCCTCGCTCGCGCCCCACCTCCTCGGAGGAAACAACGGCGCGTGTGCGCCCGGAGAGCCTGGCCACAGGAAACCCCCAGGGTTTGGGCCCCTCTGGGCTCTCCGGAGGCGG